TCAGCTTCTGTTCCAGCCATGGCCACTAGCATTCTTCTGCTGTCCCAATAGGTACACACTGTAATCAGAGGTATTAGGTAAAGAGATTGCCAAACTTAATGTCTTGAATTCTCTCAGAGATTTCAAAGAATTATAAAGGCAACAAACACAGGTGGCAGTTGACCTACTTAATTCTCTGGTATCCCTTTGGAGCTACTTAAAATAGAAGTCACGTGGAACACAAGGGCGGAGATTCACAAAGTACATGCTATTTACAGTACATATAAAATAATTACACCAACTTAAAAGCAATCTTTCGAGTAACTTTATAATTTAAGAGCTATTTTAATTGCATGGTAGACTAGAACCAATGTAAGCTAAAGCAAACTTATGCTTCCTTCTCATCTTTCCTTCACATACAGCCTTGCCATCCTTCCTGGTATCCTCCCAAATAAGTCCCCTTCAGTACCATTTTGCCGTGTAACAGAGCTTCCTCCTTTGGTTCATGATCTAAAATTATCCCTTCTCTCCCGAATCAAGTTCTTTCCCCTCTGTACCTAATTTTCCATTCACTCTGAGAAATAAGGGATTTGATGAATTAATTTTCATCTGAGTGGCGAATTTTTTTCCCTCCTAGAAGTACTTCAGATTTTTAATAGCAAGAGCAGGTTAGTGCAGAGAGTAAGTAATTTACATGTATTTTCATTACAACATTGGAATAGAGTAAGGGCCAATGGGTTAACCTAACACGCCCAGCGACACAGCAGAACCAGAATTTGGATGTAGAGCCACTTAACTCAAAAGTCTGCACTTTTCCCACTCCCATCAGTCTTCAAAGAGTTTTGCTTGAAAATCCCCTAAAATAACTTCCATAAACTCATGTATCCCTCACAAAGTTTTAAGTTGTTTAGGGTCTTCTAAAATTTTTCATTTTAATAGTTCCAAAAGTCATAATTTCCAGCATATTATAAATACTGACACATAAAATTACTCACTTTTTAAGTGAATCCAATGAAACCCAAATGTAACAGTTAAATCCATTTTTTAAAATGTATGAGCAAGCTCTTCTTTAACATTTAGAAAACATACACCTTTCCTTTTTCCCCTTGAACCTGTATTTCCATTCCATTTTCTCCAGATTTTTATCCTAATATATTTTAAAGTTTGAAAGTCTTACTGATCATCACATACATATCTACAACAAAAATTGTTTATAATTAAAGATTTTATTTTCCTCTAACCATAAGTGGTTCTAGTAAAATTTTTTTCTTCTGGATTGAGTTATTATAAATATTAATACATAATTGAGCAAGACAACATATGTACATGTTTTGGTAGTTATTAAACATAGGTAGTAATTTTTTTATTATTAGTTAAGGTAATACTAGCTACCGTAACCGATGAACTCCAAATTCTTGATGGCTTAAAAAAATAAAGGACTATTTCTTGATCATTTAGAGTCCCAAAAGGAAGTAGGTGATGATTCAGGGACAGGTTCCTCCCATCGTGGGGTTCTGCTGTCTTCCACACGTGGCTTCCACATAGCCAAAGAAGGAAAGAGTGAGAATGGAGATGGTATACGGGCAGGTCTGGAAGCTGTGCCCTGACCTCCTCCGCCTTTCAATGCCCAGAATCAGTGATATTGGCAAAGCTGAAACAGCAGGAGGCTGGGCACGCAGTCTAGCAGTGCGCGCCAAGAAGGAGAAATGGACTGGACAAACAGCTCAACAAGCCCCCTCACAAGTTTTATTGGAAATGCATGTCTGGAGAAGAATCATGATGCAACTTTTTAAAGAAATCTAATGAAAGAGAACGTTTTAGTCTGCTAAAAACAAATCTGACACCTACTTTTAAAATACATGTTGTAAATAGGAAGTAGAAAAATTTTAAAACATTTTATCAGATGAAATAAGATGAGGACTGACAGTAACTGTAACATACATTTGGTATGATTTGATGAAAACACAAACTCTCAGTGAATAATGCAATAAATGCCAACCAAAAATACACAAAGCCTTACCCTTAACAGAAATATTTATAAAGAAGAGAAATTCAGCAAGTCTTAAGAGTTTATGAGGGCTCAACGAATCGTTAAAGGTTTCACTTTTGTGTGGCCTATAATGACTTTCACATCTAGTGTAATATTTGGGATGGGTAAGAGCAATGCCTTTCTTTAATAAAGTGGGAAAAAGACTATTAGGAACTCGAGCAGCTTATCAGATAAATCAATTTTAGGAAAGAGTATTTATGGAAGTTGAGAATCTGGAAAGTGGTTCCTTTAAAATGATCTATGCCTATGCAAATTCATCTGAAGGTATTTAAGTACTCCTGGGCATAGCCCCAATTTGAGAACCACTGCATTAGACCATACTACCTTGACAACCCAAAGGAGTTTCTAAAAGCGTGTTTTTTATAAACTCTTGAGATATTTTGATGCTTCCCTTGGTCCTTAGGCTATATACTCTGGTTCATGCAAAAGAAAGTGAGTGGCAGTGGGGAGGTCACTGGAGTGTCATTGAGTCTGGGAGAGGCTGTGGGTCACGGAAAGGCAGATTCTCACATCCTGCTCAGGGACTGGATATTTACGAGGAGGCAAAAGTAATAGATTGCAGTGATGCTGTGAAAACATGAGCAAAACTGTTAACTGAATAACAAGTGGAAAGAACTAAAAGTGAGCTATTACGATAGTTCAGATTCATGACCTGGTGACCGCTTCATGGAATCCATGCCCTTGTCATTCAGAGTCAGCAGAAGTAGGATCATGGAGGTAAGTGAGCCACCACAAGGGCAGAAAAGTGTTTATAACTTTATTATCTTAGGACAACAAAACAATTACAAGGCATTTGACTTTACTAATTAAAATGTTTTAAATAGATTAATTTCACATGAAGGTTTAAAATGATATTCATAGCCTATTGGAGAAAATACCTTTACATATCTGAATATAACTTGTCCAGTACTTGGTTCTAATAACAGCTAGTGTGCACTGAGTGCTTACCGCATACCAGAAACCGTGTTAAATGTTTTACATTTAATCTCTATAACACTATGAGGAAAGTGCAACTGTATAGATGAAGGACTGTAACTTAGAGAGGGGAGCCAGGATTCAAATCATGTTTTTAACAAATAAGCTGAATTTTCTCCAGAGCAGTGATTACTAAATTTATTGGGATCATAAATCCTGGTAGGAATCTGATAAAAGCTATGGACTATCTCCCCAAAAGAATGTAGTATATAAAATTCTACATACTAAATTTGGGGATCTTATGGACCCTCCCTCTCAAAGCCCTTCTAGTGACTCATCAAAAGTCACTGTCATCTTAGATTATACTCAAGGGCATTCAACCAGAAATCTAAAAATTTTAACATTAAACATCACCATACTATGATTATGGTTATGTTGTAATGAAGGTCAAAAGTATCTTAAAACACCCTGAGAAAGGTATGCAACTTTGTAGACTTGAAATACTACCTGGAAAAAACAAAAGCAAAATAATAAATAGTACATTTTGCATTTTTTATTGAAGTAAATATGTAAATTAGTAAAAACCATTCTATTAACCAAATCATGTTTTAATTGACCAAGCTAAAAACAGGCTCATTGTAAAGAATTCAGAAAACTGGTGAAAGAGTATAAACCCAGAGGTGCTTCCTGTTAATTAACCACGTGGCATACTTCCTTCAAGCTTTTTAAAGACTAGCATATCATTATTTCTGAATAGTATAGTATCTTCAGTTGACAATAACCCTAAGTAGTAGAAAATTTCTAAGTGTATTCTGAATAAAATGTTCAGTTTATTTTCTATTTTACCTTATCTAATTCTGGGAAAACATTTAAACAGATGAATAATTTTGTTCCCTGATCAATTTACCCCCAAAAAGGATTTGCCATATAGCACTTAAGGTATATATTTAAATATTCCACTAGACCATTCATTACTGCAGAGGATGTTCATGATACAGAAACTTTACAGCCTTAACTACAAGAATCTAAACTTGATTTTATAATAGTTAACAATCACTGTAGTCGAGTTTTAGAGTCAGTGTTCGTGTGTTTCACTATTTCAAGCTGTTAAAGAACAGTCTGGCTAAGATGAAGAGCTTTGGGTCTGGAGCCAGAACATTGGAGTTCCAATCCCTGGTCAGCCATTCAACTAGCTGTGTGATAACAAATTTGTTCTAGTTATAAGAGTAACATCTAGTTTTAAGTTTCTCATGTTTCGGGCAGGATCCATTCACTAACTTGCTGTGTGATTTAACTATACAGCTTAGGTTAGCCAGACATGTAAACAGGTGTATCTTACAATTTTCTTGCCTTGTTTGCATCTCGAGGGTTAATCACAAATAATGCTAATAAAGTACTTCAAAGTTTTAAATGAAAGGACAAAAAAAAGAAAGCAATAGTATTTTCCTCTTTAACCATAAACAAATCTTAATGCTGTTACTGTATTTATTTACTAATAACTAAGCACAGTTTGGCATTGCCCTAACAAGGTAATCATGAGTTGTTGAGACACTTATGACTATTAGGAATGCAAGACTAATTGACATAATTATATATCACCACAAGATGGAGTGAGAGTTCTCCAAAATGCACACGCACACACACACACACACACACACACACACACACACACTCTGCTGTCAAAAGACTACAGATCCGACTTATTCCATTCTGCCATCTAGTGGTGATATAATTAGGTATTACTCTATTGGATCAGTCTCCCATGCAAGAATAAAATAAAAATAAGCAGTTTCATGAGAGCTAAGAAATTAGTTGAAAGACAAGATTAAGCACAGAAAGGAAAGTGGTAATATCATTAATATAATGGCAAGGAAAAGCATGAGAGAATATCAGAGCGGAGTCCCAAACTGACAAAACAAGTTTAAAAAATAAAATCTATTTTAAAACTAAAATATCTATTTTAAAACATAACCTTCTTCCTTGATTCCTTTTAGTATAAAGAATTCCAAAGATGACTTCAACTATTCCTTTAAAAGACAAGTAGTTTGGATTTAAACATTTTTAACATTGCCTTTTTTATTTAAAAAAAAAAATACTGTGCAAAACCGTAAAGAAGGAATTATCTAAGGTCTCTAAGGACTTACATAAATTTTGGGTAGGCCTATTTAGATTTATAGTTAATGTTATTTTCATTGAACAATGCTTTTATTTGCTTGAGTTTTACATTTGAAATTTCCTTATAGTGGCATAATTGTTTTAAATTTTACCCAAAACATGTACATACCATGTCAAACATACATACACAAAATTAGAAAGTAAAGGGTTAATATTCTTGGTAAGTAAAAAAGCTCTACAAATCAATCAGAAAAAGATAATCACTCCAAAAAGAAAACATAAAGGATATGATCAAGCCATCCACAAATAATATAGTTAATAAACAATAAAAATTATCACTCATTAGTAACCTGGTTTAAATGATGATGTTAATAATGATCTTAAAATAATATTTTTTGCTTTTCAATCTATCAAAGAGAAAGATTTATTATAATCAGTGTTGGTGAGGACGTAGAAAAGCAGATGCTGTTGGTGAAAGTATAAATTGTGTGACCATTCTAGAGTTTGTTAAATGGGAATACGTTTTTACTTAGAATTTCAATTTCTAGGAGTTTATGCTAGGCAACAAATACACAAATTTATACACAAAGACTTATCCATAGTAATATTATTAATTAAATTGTTGTTTATAACAGCTCAAACCTGGCCACATGCTAAAGTTCAACAATAAGCGATCAGCTAAATACACCACGGCTCATCCATACGCTGGAATACTACATAACTTGTAAAAGTCATGGTGCAGAGATACTAAGGACATCAGAAAATGCTTACCTCTACTACGTGAAAAAGCAGATTATAACACTGAATGTACAGCATGATACCAATTTTGTTTTTTTGTTTTTTAAAAGGTACTTTATTTTCTTCATTGTCCTTTTCTAAATTTCCCAGTGCACATGTATTACTTTTATAATCAAAATAAGATGATAAAATTACTAATTTATTACACATCACAAAACTCTTGATTACTGTATTTTCATATAAAATGGATGATTTTCCAGTCAAATTTACACTTCCATATTTAGGTAAGTAGAAATAATCTTAGGTTAAATCCAAGTTTCAGATGTATGTCTTCACAACACAAAAAGGATATTGAGAAAAATTTTTAGATCATTTCAAAAGCCCACTTAAAGCTAATAAGCATAGTTTGGAAATTTCTCACTGAAAGGCCAGAACTACACATCCAATTAAGACAACATTTAAAGTTTATTATTCTAATCCATTAGTTGTTTTGCATTATCTTTCCAAGATCTTTAAGTAAAATTTATTTCCTGAATATTCAAAGGTGACTATTTCTGAAAATTAAAACCTCAAAATGACCCCAAAATATTAAATATTATAAAGCTGCAGATTATCATTTATGCATAGGAAATACCCTATTGAAAATCTCTTTACTGATGAATAGCCCATTTATTCAAAGAAAATTATATATATTTCAATGTTGTCATTCTAAAAGAACAAGACATTAAAAAGAAAATAATAAATTTAGTGTATTAAACTACCTGCTTCTGCCAATACAAGAAAATATATGTGCTAAATAAAAATGGTTATAAGTTTATAACCGAAACTTCATTCACAAAATATAATGGTCCCCTACTAGCAGAATTTGAATATTATAGCTTTTCAACTATATTCTAAACAAAAATAATTAAAAATCAATTCAAATAATTTAAAATAAATGCTTTATTTTTTTAAATTCCCACAAAAACTGAAACTATCATTTACACCAGTCACAATAGCAATAAAAATTAGAAATCAATCTGCTATAACTCTCAAAAACACTTATGAGCATAAAACAAAACTAAAAGAAACAAAAAGAAAAAACTAAGTACCCCTTGTAAATTGAAGATAACCTGACTGACTGACATACCCACCTGCAGATGTACAAACAGCAGATGCAATCAAAACGGTGCAAGATTTAATGAATTTGGGACAATATTGCAACCAATCCCAACCCAGTTTTCAATTACTTGTGCAGGTTTATATAGAGTCACAAAAAGTAAATCTCTCCTAATACGTAACCAGCTGATGCCAATTCAGAAGACTCCACACCAACACAGTAACCATGGAAATCATGAGGTATGACTGGGGGAAAAAGCAAAACTCAGCATCCAAAGGGCATATACTTCAATATAACTGCAATATATTTCTACTTTTGTGTAAAAAAAAGTTTCCTTTAAACTAAACATCTAAAAGAAAAGAAAATGTATCATTTCATATTCTTTTTCAAAATTAAAAAAATATATACATAATCTTCCTTTGTTTTTGATAAGTTCAAATATGAATTGAGAGTGGGGAATTGGATTCTTTAAGAAAGCTCTATAGAAGGATGAATACAACCTACTATATCTTCTTTAAGAAGTATGAGCTGAAATGTTAGCATTCCTTGTGTGGTTCTGTATATATTTAAGGAATGCTGTTCTTGTAACCAATGGCTTTGAAAAATACTGAGACCAAAATACGTTACTAGAGGATCTCTATGAAAGGTCACCAAAACCACCCTTGATCATGAAATCAGGGAAAATGTTTTTAGAATTTATCTTGCTAGAAAAAAAACGCTACCATTTTCTTTCTTTTTCTTTTCTCTGATTATCACAATTAAACATCAGAAGATTCTTCCCAAACAAAGACTGGCGTAAACGTAGATTTCAAGGGCAAACCGCTTTCATGAGAGTCTATTTCTCAGGCCTTTCACCATCTGTTGCGGCAGCACTGTGCTGGTGCGAGTCGTCACTGGACTCCTGGGAAGTACCCGTTCGGGGAGAGAGTACTGGGACCTCAAGCTGATTAGCAGCGTTCAGTGGCTTTGTAGAGGAATTAGACGGAAGTCTATGACGGTTACTCTCCTCACCAGAAGTAGATGAATGTCTTTTTCTTCCAAATTCCTCACTAATAGGAGGCTGCAAATTATGAAAGACAACACAGCGATGATTTTATTATTTTTCTTCCCTTTAAAATCTAAGGACAGACTTTTCCAACAAAGAAGGAAACTATGTTGGTGCTCAGTAGATTTTATTAGTATAACGAAAACTTCACAGCAATTTAAGGTATTAAGTTTAAATTTTCTCCCCAACTAAATCAGCCTATAGCACTGGTCCATTCTTTCACTCAACACATGTTTATTAAGTTTCTCTTGCGTTTCAGGGCTTGAACTACATAGTAGGGCATAAGCTCAAGGCTGGCTTCCTTGCCTCCAAGAAAATGTTTCCGAGACGGTATTTTTCTCCTTTATTCGACTTCTGTCAACTGCAAAGCATTTATAACTCGAGTCTCCTCCTCAGCCCTAAACTCCTATTCTAGGCTTGCTTGAACGGTAATGTTTAAAAGATAAAGGAAAACAGCAGGGGGAAAAAGAGATACCGAGTCAAATAACCTTCAGCGTGTTTGAAGGTTTATCTAGGATTTCCAGGATAAGGAGACTGGAGAGCATTATTGATGGTACTAAATTTAAGCATTTTCGAACATAACTATCCATAAAGCCTGCAAATCCCCTCAGGCTGCAAGTAAGGAGGGGGCAGGCAGTGAAAAGGTATTCTGCATTAAAAAAAAAAGGTCACAGAGATTTGGGAGCCCAGAATTATACACCACCAGACTAATATTTTTATTTAGAGACAAGACCGTAACCTCCTTCTATCATCTTCCATTGTATTTAAAAGCGGAGGCCTGAATTCTTAGCTTCTGTTTGGGTAGGGCAAAAGTCCCTGTTAGAGAGCAGGGACGTCTCTGTGACAGAACTGGCTAGGCCACTCTAGAAACACAGCTCTTAACGCAGAGACACAGGCACTTCTCTTACCTCCAGCCCCAGGCCCTCAGACCCATCCACACAATACTACATAGCAAACAAAATACTGTACTAGGCAGAGATGGACCTCGCCTTCCTTTCACCTCTCTCTTTCCTGTTCTTTTTTCCTTATTTCTCTTTTCTCTTCTTCCTCCTTTTCCCTTATCTTCTTATGTTCCTCTCATTCTTTTTTTTAGTGCTTTCCTTTTCCTCTGGAAATAAAATTTTAAAGCCTACTCTTCTGTCCCTACGTATGCACATAACATTCTTGCCCTAATTTTATTATGTGGGAAAACCTAAATCCATGTTACATCAGCACGTTATGAAAATTATAGGATAAAAGTACATAAAAAGTGAAAAATTTTCAAACTGCTAGTGAGAAATTAATACATATCAACACAAAAGTTACCAAATCTATAAAATGTTTAGGAGCATATCAAAATTAAAGTTACCTGACAATTGTACTGTGGTTATGTAAGATGCTAACATTTTGGAAATCTGGTAAACAGAGTGTATGGGAATTCTCTGTACTATTTTTGCACCTGTTTTAAAGTTTGATTTCAAAATTGGTAAGTTAAATTTTCAAAATAAAAAGTTAAAAAGTAAAAATTGTAAAATCAAAGTTAAGAAAGTCACTGATAGCTCAAAAACAAAGGGTAATAAAAAGAATACAGAGGAAAGGACTTAAAACTTACATCAATACGGAAGTCTTCCAACCTGTTAAAGCTACAGAGATATTCCTGAAGTTTTGGGTCAACAGACTGTGTCTTAGATTGAGAATATTTTAGATAAGCCCAAAACTTTTCTAATCCATACAGCTGACCTAATAACAAAGAAGAATATACATGATAAATTATATAGAATTTTTAAATGATTCATATTGAACACAATCCTTCCAGCAATAAACCATTTATCTCCCAATATACACTTTATCTAGATCTTGAGAATAAGACAACGTAATGAATAATGATAGCTAACATTTATTGAGCATTTGCTATGTAACAGGCGTTAAGTTTCTTATTATATATTAAACTAATTTGAACCATATATAACCCTGTATACAGGTGCTCTTGTATATATTACTGATGAGTAAACTGAGGTTAACAAAGTTAAGTAACTTACTCAAGGTCACATAGTTACTAAGTAGAAGAAATGGAATTCAGATTTAGGGATCTAGCCTAGAGCCTGCGCTGTTACCCAGGTGCTATTCTGCCTTTCCAAGCATACCCGCTGATGTTGCATAGAATTTTCATGTAATGGAAAATCAGTGAGTAGTCATGTTTGTCAAGGGAATGATGACAAAACACAACTCCAACAAGGAAACACTTGGGAGTGGGTGTTTCCAACACCTCACAGGAAAGGCCTTCTTACTATACAGTGCTGGTGCACCACTCTTCATCAAGAACCATAATAGCGGCCTGAAGGTCTTAAATTGTCTGCCCTGAAGGAAAAAAGTTATGAACTCCCTCCTTATTTACTGACAGACTCAGGTTTACAATTTCCAAATGGAATAAGGTTATTGTTTTGCTTTTTTACCAGATTCGTAGTCTTTTTTGGTTTCTTCTTGGAAATCCTTAAAAATTTCTTGTCTGAATTTTTTTTCCAGTCCATAACTATAAAACCTGAACAGACATTCTAAGCCATACCTGTGAAAATTAAAATGTTTACAATAAAATTTTTGCTATGACAAAGCAAACATCTCATCTTTAGCAGCACTGATACAGGCAAACATGGCACAAATAATCCCAAACAAAAAAATGTTTAAATGTATGTAATTTTTAGTACAGAGTTTTAGCTGAAGTGATAACTAGTAATCCACTGCTGGCTTTGACATTTTTGTTGACTCAGCCATAGCACCTCATGAAGGTACACTGGGAACCTGCAGAATGAGAGGCAGCCCCTAACAACTAGAGCTGGCTTTTTGGACAGACAGAGGATCTCTCCCCGGTATTTCCGAAGAACTGGTCAAGAGATTTAGTGACAAATTGGGAATGTTTTAGACTTTTCCCAGACCAAGGTTAATAACAGTGTGTCTGTGCATGGTATTAAATGCTCTTAAACATAATCTTACTCTAGAGAGACAAAGATCATACTCTTGTGCTCTGGACCCTAGCTGTAGTTGACTCGTTCAACTATAAAGGGATGAACCTAATTAAATGGCTCCTAAGAGATCCTTCCTGCTTTAGTTATAAATCCTTTTACAACTTATAAATTCTTTTATAACTTAGTTATAAATTCTTTTAGTTATTTTACCAAAAGAATTGTATTCAGTACATAAATCAGAAAACAAAGTTCCTTGTTTCCTCCCATAACCACCTAGAGAACCTGAGACATGTTTTGGACAGTGGATCAGCAAACTACATGGGCTCAGTCTTCAACTAATAGTGATGAGCAGAATCCATGAGAGTGGACAAGGTCAAGAGGACAGCAGTAAAAGGACCATGTGTAGCTCACTCAATTAAAACATGTTACAATTAAAAGATTCTTCAGTTAGAATCCTTAAGTGGTTCTGGGTGCCTCAGTGGAGTAGAGGCTACAATTTCCTCATTACTGGTAACATAATGTTGCCTGGCTGTTATTCCCAGAAAGAAGAGCGTGTGTGTCTGTGTGTCTTTTGTAACCAGCTTATTTACAAGATGGAGAGTGATGGTCTGTCCAGGAGAATAAATAGGTTTCTTGGCAAGAAACCAAGAGAAACATGTAGGCTACCAAACCACACATTAACCTGAGTTCTTTGCTCTGGTAGCCGCAAGCGGCGCTATCCTTTGAGCTTGTATAACTGAAGGCTAAGGGGTGTAAGGACTAAAGGACCACCTGCTCCGACTGATAAATCTGCCTTGACACTCCTCTTATGGGATATTATATTGATTATTAGTGGTTCTCAACCTTGGCTACATATAAGAATCATCTGGGGAAATTCTAAAAAATACGATACCCAGGCCCCACTTCAAACCAATGAAATCAGAATCTTTGGGGGTGAAGAAAGGAGGAGTCTTTCTTTCTTTCTGGAAAGCAGAACTGAGAACTTTGGTTTTTCTCAAGTAAATGACATTTTAGAAGAATGTTAGAATTCTTAGATTATTGGTAAAGGCCAAGAGACTACTATAATATTTAGATTTTTACTTTTATCTTTTAGCAAACTAATTCCAAAGACCGAAAGCATGACATTAATAATCTAACCCAAACATGCAGCTTAACTGCTGGAGTGAAGAACGGGCAAACGACCAGCCTTTCAGTTGTCATTTACTCACTTACCCCTCACTGTGAGATAGCTTAGATGAGTGGAAAACACAAAGGCTGAGAACCAGTAGGAACTATATTTGAATTCTAGGCTTGTAATTTTATCTCTGAAAGAGGGTATAATAATATCCTACTTTTCAAGAATAGATGATAGTTGTTAAGCACTCAGTCTAGAGCTGGCACATTGAAGACGTAATAAATGTTATTTCTCTCCTTCCTTCCTGAAACCATCTTACCGCTACTTTTAGACAATGAACATATGTAGCACTGATCTTCTTCCTAAATTACAATAACTATTTATTGAGCACTTACTATGTATCAGGAAATATGTTACGTTGCTTATATATTGTTTTGTCTAATCTTCACAATAACCCTATGAGGGTATCTACCATAATTTCCCCCACTTCATAGACAAGAACCTGAAGCTTACTTGGATTCTAACTTGCCAAGATCACAGTAAGTTAACGGGCTGCAACTCAAATCTAGGTCTGATTTCAAAGCCTTCAGGTGCTTAACCACTGTGCTATCCTTCCTAAGGAACAGCTAACCCAGTCTAGTCATGAACACTGCAGAAACAGACCCAACATTATAAAATAGCATTTAAAAGCTCTTAGAAACATACACAGAGTACTACAAGAACACTGAACTCCCAACCTAGATTTGGGTGGGAATGTGATCAAAAAATTATTAGAAAATTCCAAGGAACAAACAGAAATAGTTTGCGTAAGCAGCAAAATATGCTGAGATTTATTATAACAATGGCTTTCAAGCTTTCCTAAGTCCAATAGTAAGAGAAATATTTTGATTGTGACCAAGTCAACACAACACTCACATATATATGTGTATGTAAAAGCATATATAAGTTTTGCAAACAATTCTTAAATTTGTATGAATTGTGAAACAATTTAACTTCACTATGTTCAGTGCAGTTTGGTATTTTCTACTGTATTTTTTTAAGCAAGTCAGAACCACTAAATTGATTTCACAACCCACTAATGGTTAGCAAACCACAGCTTGAATGAGGACATCGAGATCAAAAATGGCAAATTTTGCATTTTGCACCAACTCTGGTAAACTGTAATGACTATAAATCTGAATTCAAGAACAATATTGAACAGTGCTGGGATTAGAGATGCCAGTTATGGACAAATAGAGGTACGCATGCCATATACCTGTCATTCCTGATCAAGATAAAGATTCTAGTTGGAAATTAAATAGGCTTTATTTTTTTTACTTTTTTTAAAATTGAGGTTATAATAGTTTCTAACATTGTGAAATTTCAGTTGTACACTATTATTTGTCAGTCACTATATAAACATGCCCCTTCACCCCTTGTGCCCACCCTCAAACCCCCTTCCCCTCTGGTAACCACTAAACTGTTCTCTTTGTCCGTGTGTGAGTTTATCTTCCACATGAGTGAAATCATACGGTGTTTGTCTTTCTCTGTCTGGCTTATTTCACTTAACATCATACCCTCAAGGTCCATCCATGTTGTTGCAAATGGGATGATTTTGTCTTTTCTATGGCTGAATAGTATTCCATTGTGTGTGTATATATATATATATATATATATATATATATATATACACACACACACACACACACACACACACACACCACATTTTCTTTACCCACTCATCAGTTGATGGGCACTTGGGTTGCTTCCACTTCTTGGCTATAGTGAATAATGCTGCAGTGAACATAGGGGTGCATAAGTCTCTTTGAATTGTTGATGTCAAGTTCTCTGGATAAATACTCATAGTGGGATAGCTGTGTCAGACAGTATTTTTTTTTAGAAATCTCCATATTGTTTTCCATAGTGGTTGCACCAGTTTGCATTCTCCCCAGCAGTGTATGAGGGCTCCCTTTTCTCCACATCCTCTCCAACATTTGTTATTTTTTGTCTTGGTGATTACAATCATTCAGTGGGTATAAGGTGATATCTTAGCATAGTTTTGATTTGCATTTCCCTGATGATTAGTGATATTGAACATCATTGCATGTGCCTGGCCATCTGTATATCTTCTTTGGAAAAACGTCTGTTCACTTCCTCTGCCCATTTTTTGATTGGGTTGTTTGTTTTGTTGTTGAGTTGTGTGGGTTCTTTATATATTTTGGAGATTAGCCCCTTGTCAGATATATGATTTGCAAATATTTTCTCCCAGTTGGTGGGTTGTCTTTTCATTTTGTTCCTGGTTTCATTTGCCTTGCAGAAGTGCTTTAGTCTGATGAAGTCCTACTTGTTTATTTTTTCTTTTGTTTCCCTTGTCTCAGCAGACACGGTATTTGAAAAGATCATTCTAAAAAGAGTGTATTGCCTATATTTTCTTCTAGATTTATGGCTTCAGGTCTTACCTTCAAGTGTTTGATCCATTTTGAGTTAATGTTTGTGTATGGCAAAAGATAATTTTTTTGTCTACTTTCACTCTTTTGCATGTGGCTGTCCAGTCTTCACAACACCATTTATTCAAGAGAATTTCCTTTCTCCATTGTATGTTCTTAGCTCCTTTGCTGAAGATTAGCTGTCCACAGATGTGTGGTTTTATTTCTTGGCTTTCAATTCTGTTCCATTGTTCTGTGTGTCTGGTTTTGTACCATGCTGGGTTTTTTTGTTTTTTGTTTTTCTTTAAGATTCTATTTTTTCCCTTTTTCTCCCCAAAGACCTCCGGTACATAGTTGTATATTCTTCGTTGTGGATCCTTCTAGTTGTGGCATGTGGGACACTGCCTCAGCGTGGTTTGATGAGCAGTGCCATGTCCGTGACCAGGATTCGAACCAACGAAACACTGGGCCACCTGCAACTTAACCACTCGGCCACAGGGCCAGCCCCTGTACCATGCTGTTTTGATTACTATACTTTGTAGCATATTTTGAAGTCAGGGATTGTGATGCCTCCAGCTTTGTTCTTTTTTCTCAGGATTGCTTTAGCTATTCAGGGTCTTCTTTTGCCCCATATGAATTTTAGGACTCTTTGTTCTACTTCCATAAGAATGTCATTGGGATTCTGATTGGGATTGCACTAAATCTGTAGATTGCTTTAGGTAGTATGGACATTTTAACCATGTTTATTCTTCCAATCCATGTGCATGGAATATCTTCCCATTTCTTTATGTCATCATTGATTTCTTTCAATAATGTCTTACAGTTTTCATTGTATAGGTCTTTCATCTCCTTGGTTAAATTTATTCCTAGATATTTTATTCTTTTAGTTGCGACTGTAAATGGGATTGTATTCTTGAGTTCTCTGTTAGCTCATTAATAGAGTATAGAAATGCAACTGATTTTTCTAAGTTGATTTTGTACACTGCAACTTTGCTGTAGTTGTTGATTATTTCTAATATTTTTCTGAGGTATTCTTTAGGGTTTTCTATATATAAAATCATGTTGTCTGCAAACAGTGAGAGTT